GCAATCGCGATGAATCATCATTGAATCATTCGCGTCGATGCATGTGCACCGCAGATGGACGAGCTATTTTCACTATTCGACGTTGCACCATCGACTATGGGCAACGCCGAGCGACGCTGTTGAAACCGCCTCGAAAGATCGTCGATCTTCGGAAACTGGGATCAAAGGGATCTCTGACGTGTGATTTCTGATCTCTCGGCCCTCTGCCCACGCGATTCGACCGCGGACATGCATTATAAATCAGCGTTCGACACGCGACATCAAAGAACGCGGCTGAATCGTGTTTCCCTTGAAAGCTGAGGAAACGGAACACGATTTAGCGAGATAGACCGCGGAAAGATAACTCGGATCACTCGGCCTGCGAATAAAATTAGACCCGTATCCGTGTCAGTTACTCCGAGCATCTTTTCAATCGTTTTTGTATTTCTTAAAATAGAGAAATAGTTGAACTGGTATCGATCTCTGACATTTGTTGATCTTCAGTTGGTATAATGCATCACTGAACATTTTATACGATAAATATTTACTCGAGATTAGAGTGGCAGACAAGCACGATGTTCGTTTTCTTCGATGGGAAAGGAGATACATTTAATTTTTTTTTGCTGTAGAACACTATAACTTTGTCTTCTCAATTGAATTCTATTTTATCCTCAACCATGCGTTATCCTCCTTTCTTAAAGAATGAACACAGGCAAAATATAAAAAGATTCGTATACGTTTCTATGAAAAATTTATGAGTAGCCGCATGTTTGACCATGCATTACTAACAAAGGAACACTTTCATTGCAATATAAATTGTGGAATATGAAATAAAGTTTTTCGTGTTTGTTTTACTTGAACTCACATCTGAAAAGTATCACAGTTAATCGATGCCTAATAATACGAAATGCGTCTCCTATCAATAAAGACCTTTCCAAGCAGAGTGAACATAAAAGTGTTTCATTTACAGATATATCACGTTTATGGATACCAACGTGTATGCAAGAACATTGAACAGTAGTCGATATGAACAACTATAAGAATTAGATAGTCAAGCATAAAATATTAAAATTGCACCGATATATTCAAGAATATTGCTCGGATCTAATCGAGGAGCTTTGATGTACAATAGAGTGACTCGGTGACTGTTTGCATAAGAATTCAGGTATTGCTCCATATGTCGCAAGGCGGCCATTATCATGGGCATCAATTACACCACATTTGTCACGGGAACAACACCAGAACAGCCGGTGTTCAACGGACGTTGCGGTATATAATGAATTCCTCCGCTCTTCTGTGACGTCCCTGAAACCACTCACAAAACACGCGAAGATCGTCGCAACCGAGGGAAAAAATATCAACAGTCATTCCCTCGTTACCTGTGTCAGCAATGAGACGTTTCATCATGCAGGCACTGTACATATAGCGTTTCCCAAACATTTACAGACACATGTCACGTCTCAAAATTCATTAAGAATAATATAATGTTTAACCAGTTGGCTGTTTAAGCAGTCGGAAAGCTCTATTAATCGTTTTAATACATTATTAAAAAAATAAAAATACTTTTGGTACCATTCTTAACCAAACTTCAAATGAGAGGTGATTTTTAGGTGTTCACCCCACCAAAATACAGTATTCAAAATTGTGATGTCAGAAGGGTGGACGTAAGAGTTTGTTTATTTTATTTTCTCAACTACTACTAAAAAATTAATATTTTTGACGTAATGCAGTTTGAGAAACGCTGCGATAGAAGTGCATAGAGCTGCATAGAACTCGCCAATGTTTCTCGTACTCGAACGACCTGGAGTGAAAATCAATAAATCCGTGACGCAGTGCACTTTGACGATAACAACTGTCCCATCGGTAGAGTAATCTCGTTATATCATAGAGAAAAAATTGTTGAACAATCGTCACGTGTTTCCTGCTTGTAAGAGAGATCACCTTGGTGGCATCGAGATCGAATATTATTGGGACGATCGTGGAACGCGAGGTTAGGCTTCCTTCGACACACGAGAAACCTTTCTCCAAGAGAATTCGAGGACACGACTTGAAAAGACCATATTGGCTGATCCATGCTCCAAAATTACGAAGACTGCACACGCGAAGACCAATGATCCACGGATATTATTCATTGGAGGAGAGGAATGGGATCATTCTTAATTTGTTATCTTGAAGTATCAATATTTTTCTACAATTTCGTTGAGGCTTAAATATTTTATTCGTTAATATTGAACGTATTCTTTGAGTTTCATACAATAAAAAAATAAATACTATTATTTTCATTCGAGCAAATCGAAGAGGAAACACCAGTAACTAAAGAGGTGAAGTAACGCGCACTTTCTCTTCTTGAGTAAAAACGAGAACCACTCAGAAGTTAGGCTACTTAGCTATTTATCCGATTTGCTCCGACTTTTTACTCCTTTCTTCCTTTGAATGTCATCGAGGGCAAGTGAACGAGTGTTCAAAATTGCCTGTTCAAAAAGCCCTGAAGTTACTCCAATTTTTAGCAAAAATTTACCACACTACGAAACACTAAGAGCTCAAGAGGACCATCAATGCTTCTTCTCCTTGATTCTAAATAAACAAAAGTACTCGGGTACTTGCCAGAAACCCTAACCTTGCTCCAATTTTTAGCTTGAATGTACTATCCATAAGACACCGAAAGCTAGAGAAATGAATCAAGTCAACCCTTTTTCTTGAGTACAGATTAAATCCACTCTCATTTGAAATAAAAATCCACAAAACACCGAGCTCAAGGGACCAACCAATTAGTGCTTTCTCTCCTCGAGTATAGCTAAAGTCAAGCACCCCTCGAAAGCTCCCAACACTGCAATTTTTAACTTGAACCCACTATCCACGAGAGATCAAGAGCCAAAGAGACCAACCAGCTCGCCCTTTTTATACCCGAGTGTAGCTAAAGGTAACTAGACGAGGGCCTCTCAGCAGCAGCTCACTTCAACGTTTAGCAAAACTCCGCCATCCAGCACCAGAAGCTTCAGCGATCAACTGAACCGAAGTCACGCTTTCTCTCCTTGACTGAAGTCAAACGCAAGACGTAGAACACTCCCCAGGAGTCCTGAGTCCACTCTGATCGGGAACAAAAATCCACAAGACACCAGGATCCATCGAGAACCAAATTTCTCTCCTAGAACGAACACACCTGAACCGGAATACCTGAGTACCACTGAAAAGTCAGACACGACTCCGACTTGGACCAGGTGCGCCATCCTCGAGGCACCAGGTGCCGAGGAAGCCAACGATCGACAGAATTTTCGATTCCTCTCCGTCGCACGTGCCAGAACCGTGACAACGGTGTCCTCAGGATGCGTCAGGGCTGCACTAGCGTTTGGATACTCCGATCCAGTGCGTATCAGACTCCTCCAGAGGACGAGAAGAGGTCATGGATGGAAACGAGGAGGCTGTTTCCGTGGAATCGAGAGTCAAAGATCACGATTCCTGACTTACGTTGGGCTTGGAGAAACGTTGGAGCCCAGAGGTCGCCCGCCTCCTCAGGTAGGACGCCCCTTTTTGGAGAACGAGTCGGACGTCCAGGAACGACTGCTGGCGGTCTGGTCGAGCGTCGGCTGCCCGATTCGGTGTATTATCGATCAGACAGGGCCGTCGGCGTGCACTCGGTGGGTTTACGTCGGGGTAAACGGCACCCAGATTCTGACTAAAGGAGCTTTTCGAACGCGACACGACGTGTGTTGCTGCTTAGGTAAGCGGCGTCAGAAAACTGCCGCGCCTACTGACGTTTCTTTCGTCCCCACCTAACAGAACAGGCCGTTCGTTCAGGCTGTCTGACTGAAACAGGTGGGGGCCCTTCTTCGGATGGTATGCAACACTCCGCTACGGTTGCGCGCAGGGCCGTCTACCGAACTATTTCCGGCGGGGCCCACCTTCGAATGGAACTGCAATTTTTTGCGCGAGTTAAGTCTTTACGAGAGTGAACCAAATCGTAAGTAGATAGAATAGCAGCAGGATAAAATTGCAAGAATTTTAAACGATATTTTAGTTTCATGTAGATTAAAGAGGTTCTTGAACTGTTTGCCATGGCGTCTCGAGCAGGTGTGACGAACCTGACATGGCATCCTGGGGCATTTCAAATTATATGGAAAACGTACTTTCGTTACTTGTAAGGGGATGTGTTTAACATTCATTTATTTGTGTTTATTTTCATTTTATTTATTTTACTTTCATACAGCATATTTTTATTTATTGTATTACATTTTATTTCTGTCACTTAAGAATATACGTATAATGAACGTGGTAAAGATGATTAACTGTTCTGTAATCAAACAAACATTTCTCTAATTTCACTTCTTAATACGAGGAACAAGATACGTGATTTATTCAACAAAAAGAATATTCACATCTGACTTGTGACCTTACGATTATGAAACATGAAATAAAATCAGTAAGTCATTTTCTTTCGTTCTACGACAACATTAGCCGCACTAGGGAATGCATTATACTTTCATTAAAGTTTTCAACACCTTCCGTATCATTATCTGCGACGAAAAAGATAACACGTCTAAACGGGTGTAAGCGTGTAAACGCAAACGTGCCTTGTTGCAAGGAATGTTAAATATCTTAGGTATACCATCTAAAGGCAGAGAGGGGGGATGCCGTAGTACTCGAGCATTCCGATTGCGTACAACATTCTTGTATGAAAACGCTCGCACCTTTCACAGCCTTTCTTTTCCTTCAAAGTCGCTTCATCTGTTCCATTGGGGTTAACGTTGAGAATAAATAGCGACAGGTGTGGTTGATCCAGGAGAATTATAAGCGTGTTGGGAGGCAATTCAATGAATATATTAGGGAAGGTATAAAAACTTGTTGCAGTCATCGACACCGATCCGTACGTCGATCTCGAGACATGAGCAGACCCTTCTCAAGATACACAACTATCCGTTACGTGATACAACAGGATTGTATAGCTCCAACGTTAAAGGATATCGTCGATGGAAGGTTAGTGAGCTTTAGGTCAATGAAAATCGACGGAAATTTCAAAGTCAACAGTTGCTATTTTTTTCTCCATCTCTACGATCATTATCAGTCACAGTGCAAGTGGAGAAATATATATTTGGTCAATATAATTTCTTATATTATTAAATTACTCGATATTCTGTTTCTGCTTGGAGACGTCATCAGGTGTACATTTTTCTTTTAGTTACGTAATACACTTCCTAAGAAAGAGTACACTCATTTAACATAAAATATTGCGATAAATTTAATTGATTAATATTTATATGCATTACAGACGTAGCAATATCATGTGAAAATGAATAATTTCATTCATGTATTGCCTTTTTAATTATTATAAAAATTATACAACTCATTTACCTTATGATACCGTCACGAATTGTATTTATTAATATTTATCTGCATTTCAGGAGGAGCAACAGTGTCTGTAAAAATGAATAGTTTCATTCACCTGTTGCCTTTTGAATGATCTAAAATATTGCACATCACTCGAACGCGTGTCGAAACCTTTTGACCCTCATCTATACATTCCAGCATGTATTGCAGCTCTCCAGAAAATTTGTAATTAAAGTTACCAACCCACTAATAAATCTCAGATTTTCCGAGTGGCTCGAAAATCCACATTTCAGCCCAGGGGGTTTGCGTGCTGGATCCGTCACTGTCACTTACACGCGCCTGAATGTCGCACACGCGCTCATTACAAGCCCGTTGGAATTACATCGGTGCTCCGTACACGCGAGAGTACACGCAACACGACGGCCTCGCGATTTCTGCCAGCGCGCGACGAACGATGACTCCTATCCGCTCGAAGAGCGGAGACGTCGCCTGCGACCCGTTTAATTGTCAGAGTTCTCCGAGGTCAGAACCAATTGGTGGATATCTGGAGAAGCGGCAACGATTTGTCAATCTAGGGTCCCTCGATTATTCACGATCCTCGGCCAGACCTAACCCCGACTTCCTGCGATTCTGCTCGCATTTCCTCGACGCGTGAACCGCCATTCTTCTCTGGGTCGGTTCTTGAGGACTTCCGGTTCGTTGGTACATCACGCGAGGCTTCACAGGGGATGTCGTTGCTTCCCTTCTCAGCGGAAATCGTACACTTTGGAAATGTTACTTTGAAGGTTTCAGGTGAGGCTTCGCTATCTTTCAACGAAGTCTCCTTTGATGTGTTTAATCCTATTAATGTGAATTTTCCTATTACTCGAACGACCTCTCTCTCCTCAATTAACCCAAATGAACCACGTTCTGTCGCGCTATTAAGACTAGTCAAACAAATGTGCCGTAAATCCTTATTCTTTCAACTCGCTAGATCTCTACACTTAAATGGTCCATATAGAAACATTGTAGCAAATATAAAATTTTCCTAAAATAGTACATATTTAAATAAAAAATTGTTGTATTCGCTTATTTTTATATATACAGCCAGTTATATAATATCCAACCATTATCTGAACTACTAAATATTACAGGCAAATCTAGGCAGAATAGGTCATTCCCTAATCCTGAATGTGTACAGCGACGCACCTGTAGTGTCAACGAAAGGCTTCACGATGCTTCGATAAACTAAAAATCCATTTATTATACTCACAAAGTGATCGAGTAAAACTCTTTCTACGTCACCACTAAGCATTCAAACCACCCTAATGGGATCAAGATTCCCACCAATGTAATTAGGAGAACCAAAGACAGTAGTCGTTTCTGGGACTCACGGATATCAAAACAGTCCCGTTTCTTTCACAAACTCAGTGTCAAATTTCTCGTTCCAAGAGTCAATAGCCTAATTTCCCGGGTCTGACGGGCAGTTTTCACGGCTGTTTTCATGGGATTTCAGTGAAAACACCAACACCCTGCCGCGTCTGTCATCGATTTCCATTGTTAACCGAGCGTCGGACCGGAAACGGACGCCGACTCCTTAACGACTTTTCGACACCAGACTTCTACCTGCTGGCTCCGAAAGAAGAAGATGGAATGCGGGCCCAAGAGACGGAGAGTAGGGGAAACGCACGATCGGGCCCCAATGGCAAGGAGTGAGGGAAACGATCGGGGCCCAACGTCTCGCAGGAAACGGTCGCTGCGTGCAACCGATCGGGACGAGATAATTCCAAGCGGTTTAAAACTCTGCCTGCGAGTTTTTGAGTCTCGGCCAGATTGGAGACGAGGCTCCAAGAAACAGATAACCCGAAGAGTCATTTTCTGGTGGTCAAAAGTGTTGGAATGCATTCATGGAGAACCTGAGGCGATGAAATTGGTAGTTAAAATTCTTCTTTTATATTTTACATGGAATTTGAGAAATTCCTGCATTATGTTACTAAACATATATAATGTTAAGGTTGTATCAAAAAATTGAATATTATAAGTATACAACCTACAACATAATGAATAAGTTCCAAAAGGTAAACGCTGGAATTAAAAAGCCTATAAATAGGCTTCCGTCAGATTAGTGTTACAATTGTATACAAAATGACATTAACAATAACATTAAAAAGATACAACTTTATTTTCATTTCAGGAGTCTGTTAGAACATTTAGTTTATCGAAGAGGTCCATAAAAAATGTTCTTTATCGTTAATGAAAACGCGAAGTTTGTGGAACACTGTGTTATATAACGATGACGAAAGAAAAAGTGACGCGGACGGCGTCGCGTCACGGAGGAATCCTGGCGGCGTCGTACAACCGACGCTAATACTTTCGTCGAAGGCCGAAGAGGCGTTGTTACAATTTCCACGTGAAATGTGTGTCGTGACCGAAATACTGCGTCAATGTGGTCGGTGCGGAGGCGTGCGATGCAAAGCACCACGTGTGACACAAAGAAATAACGCGAGCGCGGTTTCCGAAAAATTCGCGTTCACCTCTGTTTTCCCACTCGCTCGGACATTTCAGCGCTACGGGACACTTTCTGAAATACTTACTAAAAAAATTTCTCGGTACAGTTCCCGAAGATTGTTTGTTCAGCGTAAACAACTCGTTTTTGGGTACGTGAATAGCGGGGATCGTTTCACGGAATAGAAAGTGGTTATAAAAATTCCTCTGTATGTTTCTACAGGAAAGAGCATAAACTTTTAAATTAGAAGTGTCCAAGAAACATCTAAAATGTCACTTCTAATATGAAAGTTTCTAATAAATATTGTATCTGGTTTTAAATGTCTGGGGAAGGAATTTTAATGAATTGAATCTTTAACAAATTCTTTTAAAATGAACTGGTTTTCGAAGAAATCACTACAGCTTCGATTCCCCACTCCTTCCAAGAAACTTAAGCATCACTTAGAACTCGAACTTTAAAGATTAAAATGCTATTTAATATTTCATTCATTTATTTACAATTTATTCCTAAATATATTACTGCGTAATAAATTTTAATCAATTGTATAATCACCATCGTTGAATATCATTTGTTTCCATTTAGTAGACAAATTAAAACTTGCTACATGCAGGTGGTTCCCATAAAACATGATTATTCGTTACCTCTAGCGGAAGTTATATACGAATCAACCTAATATTACACTTCAAAATTATTTTTATCTCTCCATCAACCTAAATAAATAAATGATAACTAGTGAGATCTCCCGAATGGGTTCCTAAAGAAATTTATCTCTGTTACAGGTGAGTCTTGAAGGATGAAGGGGTTCAACGACACCAGAACTTTTTTGTAAGTTGGCCAGGACTCACGCGTGGCTGCGTCGTTTTTCGTTCTAGCGTGGTGAATTCACGCGATGGCGGACACTTCACGTGCCGACGCAGAATCGAGTGAATAAGAAGGATCTCTCTCGTAAAATCGTGTGATCGTAGTAAACACGTGGCGCGTGCATGTGTCCTGGCTTCTGTATGCACATCGCGCATGACCAATGTGACTATAGTTTGTTTATTCGCCCCTGCCAGACACGATGCACCGACAATTGCACTTGTAATTAATCGAGCTGAATATTCGCGAGGGAAAGTTCAAATGGGAAGCGTTTAATGAAAGCCAAATTGATTCAAGGTCTTCTTCAGGTTATCGTATCTTAAAGAAGCACGCTTTTCCTTTTTTCAACGTTTGAAGTTGCACGAGTTGCTTAGAGTATAAGCGATAGACTGAATATCATTGGATGCTTGATATGTTGTAAATATCATGAAAGATTTTGACATCTTTGCAAAAGTAAATTGTATTACACGAAAAATCAGGTTTCAGAAACGATCAGAGTAAGAGTGTGCTTGCTGTACATTGAAATCACCGTCATTGTTTCACAGATATTAACACCGGTCTCGAGTTAACTCGTGTTTTGATGTCCAAACGTAGCACTTGCATTATGTATTTCAATTTATGAAACCCAGAGCGGTGTAGAATATTGCAAAAGCTTTGCGAATGCATTTGTGACGAGTATATATACAAAAATACACAAGGATATGCTCGAATGCATAGATATATTGAATATAAATTTAGAAGACAAAATATACTACAATTTAAGTTTCTCTTCTTTATCTGTGCGTATAAAAATATGAATTTACATAAACATCTAATCATCAACATTTAATTAACAATAATCGTAATAAACACTGTGTCATTTTTAACAGATTAACCTGTCTGGTCCTAGATTTATTTCTTCAGATAAAATAAAATAACCAACAATGAGATTGTTTCTTTACGAAAACGGTAAATTAATAAAATTGTTCATACTGCTCTCCTATAGAAAACACGATGGCCTTGAGCTCCAAGGCCAAAGGTGCAATAACTCATCCACCATGGCATCGTTCCACGTTAAAAAATAAATCTTCCATAATTCCAATAAATTCACTATTTTAATTTGAACCTTTGGAAACTGATCAAAAACGGCCATGGCGCATGGTGCGTCCTGATCTTTCGAAACGCGTACGCAAGGGATGATGTAACCGTGGATGGAAGAGTCTGACGTTTACTCACCTTCACCAAAGACGTGACGACCGGGCTGTCCAGGAGACCCTTGAGGAATAGCAGATCCGTGTCGTCGGCCACCTTGCCCAGCTCCTCCAGGTTGTCGCGTACGTGCATGAAGGCGGCTGGAACAGTGACCACGCACTTTTCCATAACACTGTGCGACTATCCGCGACGGCGAGGGGCAACGACACTACCGGTTCGTGGCGTCGGGACGAGGGCGTAAAAGAGGGAACGACCGACAAGGGGAGGCCGGGTGTGGCCATCTTCCTGGCGGATCAATATTCGGCTAGCTACAGGTGGCTGAGGCAGAGCACGAGGACCTTTCGGTGGAAAAATCGAATACCAGGAGGTCGCTAAACTTCAAACGTCCCCCATCACAATCCCCTCCGCCACAACAGTGTGTTTTATGAAGCGCCAGCCTCGGGGCGCGACATACAAGTCCTTTGGAAGAATTGTGAGAGCGTACATTTCATACAGCCACGTGTTTCCTACCCCTGGATCAGTCTTTTGCAGGCTGTGGCCCAGATGTGGTTTATGGGTATGCAAAGTAACCTTCATCCAACTCTGTCAGGCGATTGTGATTTTGGTTGCCTGAGCAATTTGTGGTTTCTCTCGAGTTATTACTGGGTTCTGAATGGATCAAAGTCTTGAATTGCGGAACTCAAGTGAAGCATCTCGAAGTTCCATGGGAAAATGATGCGGAAACAATGAAGAAACCATCAAGACCCTCCTAACCACCGAAGTGAGGTTTGCCTCGATTGCAGGTAATTTAACAAAATGTTACATTTCTGAAGGATCATCGAA